TAAAAAAAAAAAAAAAAAAAAAACAGCAAATAAGAACAAGCCCATGATAAATCTGTTATCCATTATTGGAAATAAGCCACATACCTTAAAAACTCGACAGCTCTGTCAACAGGGGTATGCTTTAGAGCCCGACCGATATGGTTTTTTTGGGGCCGATACCGATATTAGGAAATTTAAAAAAACCGCCGATATCGATATATCGGCCGATATTCTTTGTGTATATTATAGTACAGTACCAGTCAAAAGTTTGGACACTTTCCCATTCGTGTGTCCAAACATTTGACTGGTACTATATATAGAATACAGTATATACATAAACAGAATATATATACATAAACACATTTTTTGCAATGATCACTCAAATGTGGTGACCAAACACTTATAATGACGTGACAGAGATACGTAATGATGGAGGCAGGGCATTTAACAATTTAACAATAAACTTTATTATCCAAAATGAGTCTGACATCAGTGCACTGAACAGTAAAGTTGAAGTTTATTCAACTTTAATTCAATTCCATTCAACTTTATTCCGTTAAAGTTTATTTCACTTCGGAACATTCATTCACGGATTTGCGCTACTGTCTTCACACACAGACGAAACTTACTAGAGAAGTGTGACATAATATACCTCTGTAAATAAATACAATATAAATTCACGTCTCGCGCACTTTAATACCCTTTGAATGTAACGTGGACATTCCCTTGGAACTGGAATCATGGCGGAATTTCATGTGAAGTCCACTTCGCAGGGCACTTACGGTCTAATAAGACCACGCTTGCATGCTGCTGCCTGAACAAGTCCTTACTGAAGTGAAAGTGTTGACTGGTGTCACTATATCGAGAGGGTTCCTCGAGCTGAAGGGATCCCCCGAATTTGGTGCGGCTTCGCCGTGCCGTTACGGAGATATGGCCGTTCAAAGTTTCAATGGTTTTCCATAGACTTACGCTTCAAAAGCGTTTCATCCAGGTCACCAGTAGCAAACAATGGAGCGTGCTCTGCTGGACAAACTAAGTAATTACACCATTTCAAGCATTTTATCTGCGTTATATGTTCTGTAAAAAAATTTTCATATCGGCGGCATATTCGCCGATACCGATACATCGGCAACAGGCTCATATCGGCCGATAATATCGGCAGAACGATATATCAGTCAGGCTCTAGTATACTTAAAATTGCCGAACATAAGTCTTTGGTTACTCTGGTCAAAAATAGCAGATACCAAATGCGGAAATGGCAGAACGTTTCTATGGTTACAACAGTGTCAATCATCACATTTCCAAGAGTGAGTTCTGTTCAGTACACACTTGAAACGATAATTTAGGGCGTTCAGTCTCTTATTTAAATGCTGTTGTCACTCCTCAAACTTTACAGTGTGTACAAGGCCATTATGTGCTCTGAAATCAGCTCAAAATATCAAACATGTTTGATATCGTCAGACTGGATGGAAATCTGCCTTTAAATCTGCCTTTCAGCAAGAGTCATAGCGTCGACTTATCCAGACTGCAAATTTGGGCAAAACTTCTTGGCATCTGAATTCCAGCGTTAAAGGGTTAGTTCACCCAAAAATGAAAATTACCCCATGATTTACTCACCCTCAAGCCATCCTAGGAGTATATGACTTTCTTCTTTCAGACGAATACAATCGGAGTTATATTAAAAAATGTTCTGACTCTTCCAAGCTTTATAATGGCAGTGAACGGGGGCCGAGATTTTCAAGCCCGATAAAGCGCATCCATCCATCATAAAAAGTGCTCCACACGGCTCCAGGGGTGGTGAATAAAGGCCTTCTTAAGCGAATCGATGCGTTTGTGTAAGAAAAATATCCAGATTTACAACTTTATAAAACCATTGGACTTCAAAATCTCGGCCCCCATTCACTGCCATTATAAAGCTTGGAAGAGCCAGGACATTTTTAAATATAACTCTGATTGTATTCGTCTGAAAGAAGAAAGTCAAATACACCTAGGATGGGGTAATTTTATGGGGTAATTTTCATTTTTGGGTGAATTGTCTCTTTAAGGGCTTTGTTGCAACCATGCCCTGATGTAGGTATTCTATTAATGGATGATTAATTAAGCGCATTCTACCATTTAAAAAAAACTGCCCGTTTCAATTTGTCTTAAAAATCGTAATGGTCATGAAAATAATGTCACATTTCAAGTGTAAATGATTTTTTGTGTACATGACAATTCCTTCTGATTTTGAGGTGAAATAAGACCAATAAATGTAATGGTCTTGCATTTAGCAGCAGACTACATAACCGAACATTACTGTGCATTGGTGTGAACGCTAACATAGTTATAGTCATCTTTATAGTTAGGGTTAGGGTTTTGTTATCATTCTTAGTGGGAACAGGCTTTATGAAAGTAAGATCTAATCAGTACAAAAGGTAGAAAGAGAGAGACAAATTATACAGGAAAGCAGTGCCAACTTTTTAGTATTAAGCATTATTTTTTTGAATATTATTTCAGTATTGATTTTTTTAATAGCTTATATGATGTGGGTAGCACCGGTTTTGAACTTTCTGAATGTGATGCCCTTTCTGTCCGCTGGACTCACGTGTCCTTGCGTGCTCGTAGGTGCTCGAAGGCCAGCAGGCCGCGGGAGTTGAGTGACACGAGCACTTGAGGACCCTCAACGATGTCCAGCCGAAACGGCTGAGCACTTACGATGAGCCGCTGATCTTTGCCACCCAGAGACAACACCAGACTATTCTCATCCTGAGAAACCACAGAGAGCCTGAAGACAGACACGAGACGTTCAACTGTTAATGTTTGTTTGTTTTTTTATGATTTGTGACCCTGGAGCACAAAACCAGTCTTAAAGGTGGGGTAAGCGATTTTTGGTAGCCAATGTTGACATTTGGTAGATATACTGTATATCCATATCTATGGTCTACACTGGATGCGGCGCGGCACGACACGACAAATCCCCGACAGAAAACTGCTGCTGCATTCTATTCATGACGTATTGACACAAATTTCAAATTACGGCTTTGTCGCGTCCAGTGTAGACTTTAGCTGTTGCGGCGCAGACAAGGTGTTACTCACTGTTACGCCTTCTTTTGTTCCGCAGACGTTTTCCTCTTTTGTTTTTTATCTGCCATCTCTATCTTTCTGTCGCTCGGCTCGGCTAATGTCCGTGCCGTGCACTGAACGCTCTCTCCTCCACATCATGAGTAGACACACCCCTTAATGCTGATTGGCTACAAGTCTGTTTTGCTAGTCGGCTCGAATCAGTTTTCTAAAGGGTTTTTGAAAAATCGCTTACCCCACCTTTAAGTCGCTGGGGTATATTTGTAGCAATAGCCAAAAATACATTGTATGGGTCAAAATTATAGATTTTTTTTAAAACCAAAAATCATTAGGATATTAAGTAAAGATCATGCTCCATGAAGATATTTTGTAAATTTCCTACCGTAAATACATCAAAACTTAATTTTTGATTAGTAATATGCATTGCTAAGAACTTAATTTGGACAACTTTAAAGATGATTTTCTCAATATTTACATTTGTTTTACACCCTCAGATTCCAACCATCAAAATATGCTTCAAAGATAATGGATTCTGGCATAAAGAACATAAAGGAGGATCTTCACCCGCCAACAGAAAACTATGGGTTAGTCTGGAATGTCCTATTCGACAGCGTGTGTAGACAATATGATCCCATCGATTTTCAAAGTGGGCAGAACGTTTTACACCAACAACAGAATTAATTTTGTATAGTTTGTTAATGTGTGAATAGAACAGCATAGCTCAGCGATGAGCATTTATGTGATGATGACAACGGGGAAAACTGTCCCAAATTATAATATGCAAAATGGTACCTTAGTCAGATAAGAAAACTCTGCAACACTTTAGTTTAGGAATTTTACTGTGGACTGACTGTTTTGAAATTTATATGGTAGTTAAATAGCCCCTAGACCTGTTATCGTTAAAAAAGCCAGGGAATTTCAGTTTTGACAATATGGGATCTTTAATGTCTTATTCTGCATGACCGTATTCTAGATCCATTAATCCAACCCAACACCTAAACTTAACAACTACCTTACTAACTATTAATAAGCAGCAAATTAGGAGTTTATTAAGGCAAAAGTCAATGTTAATAGTGAGAATTGGTTCCCAAACTAAAGTGTGATCGAAAACACATTACAAAAGAAAAACAAGAAGCTTTTAGTGGTCTTAAAATGTTTGGCGTATATAGAGCATTTTTAAATTATCGTTATACGTTAAAACGTAATACGTTTTGGAAGCAGGTTTTATTTTGACAATGACAAGACTTTTATTTTGAGAGCACTAAGAATGTCAGTGCCTGTTGTTTACAGTGTTCACTTCATTTCTTAACCATATATAATATACTAAAATATACTATAATCAAATTTGCTAAAGCGTAAATCGGTTTGTTTCACAGAATAATTCTTTACGTTTATTTTGTTCATACTGATTTATTTTAATAAAAATATGTTAAATAAATCTTAATTTTCATCGCAGCAAATGTTATGTACGTTAGTTCAATTAAATAGAGTAATATCATGTATACCAGCTTTATATCGGCCACCCTGCTCTCCAAATGCTGGAACACACTACACAACTCGTGGCCAGATTTTTGCACTGATTTACAGTCTGGACACTAGTTTCTGAATGTCAGAGATTTCAAAGAAAATCACATAGTGTATGATGAGCACAGATGCCAATATTTTTAGCTTCAGACTTTCCATCCAGTCGGAGGATATCAAACGTGAGACGATTTTAGAACACATACAGTTTATGTCAACTATTTATAAAGTGTATAAAGCCTAATGTTTTAAAATCTGTTCAGATTTTAAAAGTCATGTAGTGTATTCCAGCTTTAAGATATCATATTGGCAATCAAAAAATTTTCTTTTCAAATGGCAAAGGACCTGACTCTGTTTGCAAATGTCTAGTCGTTTCATCTGCAGTTCTGATGGTGTGAGTAGCCTCGACTTACGTTTCAGTAAAGGGATCAGAGATGAGCACATCCGGAACCTCGTAACGAGGCTTAAGTGGCTTGAGTTCATTAATCTTGACCCGTGTCATGTTGCCCTGCAGTCTGTACAGCTCAAGCAACAAGCGCACCTACAAACAACCAAACACAAGAGTTTCAGTTCTCTCACAAAGCGGAGCACAGCATTGACCAGACACTTGTTCCAGCAGTCTTGGCTCTGGAAAATATATAGAAAATTGTTCAAAAAGGAATTCTATTGGAGGTGGGAGAAAATTCGATTCTCAGATGCATCGGAGTTCTCCCTTCAATGATTCTCAATCAGTTCCTAAAGCACTCTGACTTCGAGGCACTCAGATACTGAAAGCACATTTTGTTTTTTCTTGTAACTGTTTCTTCTTCCCCTTTATATGTACTATGTTTTAAAGCTATATGTAGTCAGTTCATTCTTAACATACACTTGTTTTAATTTATTAAATGTGTAATCATCTTAAAAAGTACTTATAAATAGGTCAAAGACGAAAAAGGGTTTAAACATAAAAACGATACTGCTTTAAATTGTTGTTGTTTTCCCCAAAAAAAACTAAAAATTTTTTTTAAACGTTTTCTGTTTAATGTAATTATATTTTTGTTTTTCTGAGCAAAAAATAAATATCATACATGTTCCCGATTTACAGAAGACACCCACTAAAATGTCATTCAGTGTAACAATCTTGTCAGGCATATTTACAACAAAAATCTATTTATGACATATTAAAAAAACGAATTACTTTCACCCCAAATAATAATTAGTTGTTATTTTAAATGTTTTTACATTTGCCACTATCTTAGGTTCTGCCCATTTGTCAGTAATAATTTTTTACTAATTTAAAACCCAATAAAATTTAATATGCTCACTCATTCTTTTATACATTTTAATATGTACAAGTCAGAATAAGCATGTTGTTTGAATTTTTACATATATATTGTGTTACACTGAATAACAATGTAACATTATTTCAACCAAATTTGGACATTTTACTCTTCAAAAACTTATTTGAAACCTTAAATGTAGAAACTTTACTCGCATCTAATGTGCTTTCTATGGACATAAAATCACTTTTGTAAATTTCTTTTGATGCGGACATCTTAACGTCTTTGACTCAAATACATAAGCAATTTAATAAAAATGCACAAACAAATTTGGTCAACTAATTAAGAAGAATAAAAATGTAGATCAAGAATTGTTTTATGAATGGATCTTGATCCCCAGAATCTGAATTGGATCAGGGCTGCATTTCTCAAAAGAACTGAGAGCTAATTTGATCGTAGAGAGCACTGGTGGCAATGGCAAATATCATAGATGTCATTGCGAGGGATTAAATGTTTTTTAATAAAGATTACGAAGAGGCGTGCTTTAAAAAAAATGATGTGCACAGATGATGTGCACTGCAATATTTGATTAAAAAATAAGAATTGACCATTTTGAACGCATTGTGACTTTAACAAAGAGCAGCCAGCTTTAAGATGAATCACATTTGTTTCTGAAGCAACTGTAGTGAAGTTGTCGGTTTTGTAACATCTTCCAATAAGGCCGATCGTTACATATGGTGTCACAGTTTTTGTATATTTTGTGACCTTGTTGTTGTCATTGATGAGCTGCAGGGTGATTCTGGAGTCGCTCAGCTCCAGTGTGTCCAGCAGAGCTCTGTACGGAGACTGCCCCGGCTTCAGCTCCTTCTGACGCCTACAAACACACAGAAATCATTCATATACAGTGGCTATAGAAAAGAATCACCCCCTTTGAAATAATCACATTTTGTTGCCTTGCAGCCTGAAATGAAGGCGGACACGGTTTTTGTTTTATCCAGCTGTATTTACTCAGTGCAACTTATAACATCCAAGTGAAAGATATAGATATAACACCAACATGTCAGAAATTTTTTTTAAAAAGGGGCGAGCGATTCATTTCTATACCCACTGCATGACAAAACATGTCACAGTTAGCTAGTTCATTCCTAATGTTAAAAACTGTCCAAAAAAAAATGTAGTCACATTTTCGACTGAGGTGACTAAGTTCACTTGCAAGTATACCTGCTGCATAAAAACTATTAAACTAGTAGATTACTAGAGCATACTGCAAAATGCACTTTATAATCGAAAAAGTATATAACTAGTAAACTAACAGTATACCTACACGTGCACTTGTAGTTGCAATAATAAAGAAACACTTAAATGTTAACTAGGTGGTTTACTATTATACATCTTATTTTTTAATTTTAAGTATGCACTGTAAAGAAAAAAAATGGTATGTGTTAAATTAAAATATCCAAACATTTGCCAATGACAGTGACGGACAACATTTTACATTAAAAAAATATTCAATGTTTGAATTATGCTGTAAATGCATTAAGTTACATTTAGTAACTCGCACTGAATCGACCCTTACGAAAAACGAACCATGGCTTTACTACAAATAAAACATGGTTATTGTAGTTAAACCATGGTAACAAATTAACTATGGTTCTGATACACATGGTTACTTCACTTTTCACTATAATAAAACCATGGTTAGGTAAACTTCATAAACAGATGGCAAGTTTAATAAACTAGTCTTCCTACAGGGGGCGCATGCTGGCTCAGTATCCTCTGCTGAGCAACACGCCGTTTTTGTCTTAATATTTAAAACATTTGTACACCAAAAAGTGCACGTATATTAATTCCAAGGATTGATTAAAAAAATACTATTGGATTTTCCTTTACAACCACACCCCGCTGTGATCAGGCGATCCTGAGCAGCACTCATATCACATGACAGCGCACATACATGTTCAGACAGCCTCTGTTTCGTGTTAATGTCTCCGGGTTAAGGACTCATCAGACTCACTTGCAGAAGGCGCTCTGCTCGCATGTTTTGAAGTTGCTGCGGTCCACAGCCCGAGCGCTCACACACAGCAGCACAATCAGCAGCACCCACCTAAAGATAACAACACCACACACTTCACAAAGAGACACCAAACACGAGCGGACACTGTTACTCAAGCTATTACATACCCATCAGAAACGCGAGTGTGCGTGACTATGGCATCCATTTATACTGTACCGTGGTAAGTTACCACAACATCAAGGCAAAGAATTCTGAGTCACCGTGAGGAATAAACTCACAGGCTGCGAGGCATTTTAAATACTTAATGAGCATATCTAATGGGTTAACGTGAAAAGAGCTTTTCAAATGTCCGAGTCTTTGATTTTATTTACACATAATCCTGTTGTCTGAGCGGTACAATACCTGCCACGGGAAGCCGCCATCTTGCCTCCGTGTGAACTTTGCCCTCCGCGGCCCGCGTGCGTCCGGTCGGTTCAAATGTGTCGTAGACGCGGATTTTTTTATTTTTAAGAAATAAATGAGCGTTTGTACATTCGGCATCAAACGAACATCACAAAAATGTAACTTTATTTGGCATTGAAATCGACATAATTGATAACATACAGCGATTGGGCGGCTTTACCATTGTAAAACCGGAAGCTAACAATAAATTTAATTTTCTACCTATTACATTGTGTTTTATTAACGTCTACATCTACCCTAAACCTACCCCTTACAATAATACAAAAATAGTAATTATTGTTGTACAGTGTGAGGAAAATAATACGCTATATTAATGTGCGCATGCCCAGTAGTGTTTGCCGTTAGTATAAAGCCTGTCACGTGATACCCGTTACTTTACTCAGCGCTGCTCCGGATGGACCAATTACAATTGTTTGTGGTTACTTATCCATTTTTAAATCATTTCAAAGTGATTGTTGGATTTTGTATGTTACTAATCGCCGTTTTCTTCTCTTAGTAAATGTAAATAGGTATATATTTGTGTATTTAGCCGTTTAAAAGATGAAATCGGGTCTCAGTTACCACAAACGATATTGATTTAAAATAACTGCTTACTAGTGGATAATAAAAAACAAACTGGACACGATGTAAACTCTTTCACTTGGCGAACTGTTAAATAATAATAATAAATAATTTTTTATAATTTTATAATTGAAATATCTGGATTTGTGCGCTGAGAAGCCACGCGCCCCCTACTGGACTGCAGCGTTGTTCGCTCGTGTTGCCCCGCCTCCATTACTTGAAGGCGTCAGATGATTGGATGTCTCCTTGAAACAACGGCACCAGCGTTGCCAAGTCCTCGTTTTTCCCGCGGAATTGGGCGTGTTTAACACTGTACCCGCGAGTTGTTTTTCATGTCCACTGTTTGAAGAGAGTCAAAAGACCCTGACAATGTGATTTAGCCCCTGGAATGCGAATTTTACCCCGTCAAAAAACGTGTTTTCAGTAGCGATTGGGCGGGTTTGTTGTGAACACCTGGCAACCCTGGACGACACCGCTGATATAAAGGACGCGAGCGGCCGTGACTCTCTCTTTCTCTGCGGCAGCGCTTGGGGAACACGTGAGATGGTATGAGTTTATTTTTATTGTACTCTTCGAGCGTGACTTGAGATGATCGTTTTGTTTCTGAATGTCCTTTTGACCGCAGCCCTCCTTCTTGGCGTACTCGTGGTTGTTTTGTGTGCCCTTGTATGTATGTAGGGAGGAATAATAGAGCCAGTGCAATGTCTTCGGTGCCAGCATGTTCCCATCGGCTGGTTCTATCCTCAATCACTGGAACACGTGTTCGTGCGGTGTGTTTATAATGCCTCTAGCTGCTTGCTGGTTGGAGTGGACGTTAATCTTTGGTGCATGTGTTGTGATACCACTTGTTGTTTAACTGCAAGTTGTCCGTGTATTTCACAGGTCACGTGCTGTTCGTCGTTGCATCTGAAAAGTGCTCCAGTGTAAGGGGCGTCTACAGACTGAAGTCCAACAGTGGCTTTAATGTTTGATCAATTGTATTTTTTTTTTGTATGTAAAAAATGTTGAAACCACATGTTTATAGTGTATTAGTTTATAAGTCTCTATTAGCACACAACCCTATTTTTTGCCATGTTTAAATTGGCTGTAAACTGGACCAAGAAACAGTATTATTTCTAATAAACAATGCGTCTTTAATCTCTGGCCTGTTTTTTCCAACATGTGTGATTTTGGGGGGTGTCCTTAATTTTGTGGTGTTTACTTTGCAGTTGAAATGAACTTTTTAAATGGCAATAAGTGTTCTGGAGGATGAACGTAATTTGTGCGTTAGGGTGCACGCTTGAGTTTGAGAGGTTACCATAATGGATTTCATCCTTTTGAGAGGAACAATCAATTTATTTTCCATATAAATTAAAGTTCTGTAATAATGATTGACCGTGTCTTCAAAGGTTTGTTGTTACGCTTTTAAAACCTCATTCTTAAAAACACTTTTTTTTTTTTTTTTTAACCAGTTTATCAGACTGATTAGATTTAAAACGTCAAGTACTAGACCGACAGGGTTTTAATAAGTACACTGGTTTATATCGCCACTCATTTGTTCGAAGTTGGTGTTTCTAAATTAGGCCGAGTTCTACAGGACCACAGGCCTGCTCTACATCTGCAGCCTGTTTTTGGCGAGTAACTCATAACTAACTCTAGCGTATTCATATATAGTTTATAGGTTCATCTGCATGTAGCAGTAAGCTGTCATGAATCTTGCTTCCAAATGAATTGGAGCATAATGTATTGTTGTTGGATGTCGCAGTATTACACGCTTCTCTTAGTCTGGCCTGATGTCAGAAACGCTTTCAAATCACTTCACGTTAATTCAGACTTGTTGTTTGTAACGTTACTGGATCGGACAAAATAGTATAGTATGCGATTAAAATACCTTTGTAGTATGATACAGCCACAATGTGGTGCTGAGCATCTTTCCAGTGAAAAACTAATATCTGGGTCTTTATTAGATAGAGTGTGTATATAGATTTAACGTATTTTATTCAGTGATTCACTTTTTTTGCTTTATTTTACTATAGAAATATGGCTATTTTGAGAGAGAGAGATGAACTTTAAGTGTGTGAGTTACCTGCATCTGTGCATCTCTCTCTACAAACAATGGATCTGTGAGTTTAGTTTCCTCACTGCTGAGAAATATAATGCAGTGATTCAGTATGGAAGCTATTTTATTAAGTGCAGAAAACAAACAATACAAATATCAAGTTTCTTCTTAGCCGACGGCTGTTATTCTAATTACAAATATGTGCAATCAAAATACAAATTATAACGAAAGAAGAGCAATAGAAATAATAAATGAAATAACCCTAACAGCAAATAAAAATCTAAACAGAAACGAGGTATTAAGCAAACACTTATGCGCTACCGCCTACTCTGCCTAAGGATTTTTTGATATATCTCTGAAATATATGATTGTATTCTTGAAAACAATATTTTATTGTAATACTGAATAAAATATTAGTCAGTTATCAAAGAAAGAGAAAATAAATAGCCATAATATGGGCTATTGTAGATGCGGTAATAGGGGAGACCAGGGATGGATGTAACACTTCTTGTTTGAGCATCAGTAACTCAGTGGCTGTTTGTGCTAGATGTATCAAATTTTGATACATGGCAGCCACATTTGTCTACTACAATTAGAACTCACTTGGATGTGTACTGCATAATCACAGATTATGTGAGTTAATGTCAGATACAAAGAGTTCTGTTATTACAATCTACCCCACTACTGGGATGAGGTGTAACACTAGCTGGGGATAGGTGTATCAATTGTTGAAATAACATCCACACTATCTAATTTTTGCATAAACATCATTGAAGAACAAAGAAAAAACTATTTTGAACAACATGAACCATTTAAACCAACAACAACAACAAAATTTTTTTCATTATATTGTATTTTTTTTTAGAACTTGTAGCACAAAACAGTTGCAGCATGTGTGTGTGTGTGTGTGTGTGTGTGTGTGAGAGAGAGTGTGTGTGTGTGTGTGTGTGTGTGTTCTGGTATTCAGGCGAGGGAAAATGTGGTGGTAAGAAGTCACATTGCACCAAAGCTATATTACTTGTGCTATACTATAGTAAATAAGGCTACATTTACACTGCAGGTCTTCATGACCAATTCTGATTTTGTGACTATATCCATTTTTTTTTTGGCCGACGTGCTTGCGTTTCTTTTAAGATTGACACTTATCCCCAGGTGGTAGATATTTAAGCATGTCACAGCTTCTGAATCAATTTGAATCATATAGTCATAAAACATTTTTTCCCTCATTAAAACCTAAAGGGGTTGCCGTGATTTGTTCACAGTACAGCACGGCCTCTCATACCTGATTGCTTGCATATATACATGGTATATATAAAAACCTTGCTATGTGGATAACTGAGACTTGTCAGAGCACTTGCATATCATTGCTCTTTTGTTGGTTTTGATTGCTTCTATTGTCCTGGATAAAAGCGTCTGCTAAACGACTAAATGTAAATGTTAAACCAAATGCGTATATCAAGGGCAGGGACATGTTTGTGTGCATTTTATTTTGTGTTTTCAGTGGAATGAATGGGGTGCACGAGCCACTGTCACTGACAACAGCAGCAACGAGCACTCAGCGTAAAAAGCAACACATTTCAGCATCAGATCGCCTTTTATGTAACACAAACAAACAAAATTAATACTCTGCTACTCAAATAGGGATGTTTCATTTGTGACTGGTATGTCTGTACAGTTTAAAAAAACTCAATTTTCAGTGACGTAGCATTTGTGTTCACTGGGGAAGATCCGATCTGTCCGCTTACACGGCAGGCATGTATCCAATTATATCCGATTTATTTTCACATTCACAATGAGGCCTGAAACCAATCTGAGACTATCTTAATACACTCTTCTCTTTCCAGCTTAAACGGTCGTGGCTCTTATCTGATCTGTTCCACATGGGATGGAAAAAAATATTGGAATTGGTTCACTTGAACCATGCAGTGTAAATGCAGCCTAAGACACTGATTTGTGTTGATATATTGTTACACTTGTATTTTTCCTTTTCATATTTTTTTTAATTTAAGCATTGATGCATCTAGAGAAGATGGATCATTTGGGCGGTTAGTTAATGATGACCACCAACATCCTAATTGTAAGATGAAGAAAATTGATGTGAATGGAAAGCCACACCTGTGTTTATTTGCGCTGAAAGACATTAAAGGAGGAGAAGAAATCACGTACGATTATGGGGGAGACGACTGCCCATGAAGAACCCAAGTAAGTTGCACAGCACACTGTATACAGAATGGCTCATTTTTGGTGGTTGAACAAATTAGAATTGGAATCTATTAGAAATATGAATATAATTTCTAACAATTTTGTCTTTTGGGTCAGTGTTTTTTCTTTTTTTTTGGTACATTGAATAATGGGGTCTTACGGTCTTAGACCAAAGTAGGGGTTAGACAGTGGGGGTTGTATGCCTGGGCTGAACCAGAGGCTCTGAGGAACCGCGATTGGAAGACAGTAAAATTTTACGTTTATAATCGCATTACAGCTTACAAAAAGAAATTGCAGTGCAGATAATGCAACTATCTGGCATGGCAGGTTTTGTTTAAATAAGTTAAAGCCACAGCAACACTTAAAGAAATGGAATAACTTTATCGTTAAACCAGTGCAAAGGCCACAAGCTGAAAAGCATTGGTCTTAACAGAAGTTGTTCTAAAGTTGTAATTTTTGTTGAAACGCATGCCTATGAAAGGAAGCATGTGTGAAAGTTAAGTTATATATTTTTTTATATGATTTTATTTTTTTTACTTTTAGTATAACAGGATTTTTGATGTTTGACTTGGAGTTATTATGTTTAACTCAATAAAAGTTGAATTCAGTCATTTGAATCTGAATGAATGTCTTGAAGTTCAAGTAGTAGTAGGTTTATTGTAGTGATAAGTATCCGGTGAATGAGTAGTAGCTGATGCGGGGTGGTTGGCTGGGGCTGAACACTATTTTAAAACAATTACAATTAAAGAAAGAATAGTTTGAAGTGGAAAGGTTTAAATGCTTGACTTGTGGGTATGATATGGGTTGGAACATATACAGACAATTATTCACTACTTAAAAACAATCCTTTGTATTCACATGCACAGAATGCATGTTTGAGTTGTCCTAACTGAAAATAACTTGAACTGAAGGATCTTTAAAATATGTCCGTGTGTGTGTGTGTGTGTGTGTGTGTGTGTGTGTGTGTGTGTGTGTGTGTGTGTGTGTGTGTGTGTGTACTGTATTCCCATCACAAAAGGGTTCAGTCACTAGCTATGTTTCCATGATCCACCGCTTTTAATGTGAATTTTGAGATGTAGCATAAAAACGCTGGATGGAAATATAAAGATGTGTATAAATTCGGTTAGACTTTATTTTAAGGTGTCATTGTTACAGTGTAATTATACATTTAAGTACTGAGTAATATTAATTAGCTACATGTACTAACTATATGGTTAAGATTAGGGTTACTTGCATGTAATTATGCATAATTTATTGTTATTATAATAGTAAATACATGTAACATGTAACAAGGACAACTAAAAATAAAGTGTTACAATAAATTCTTATAATGTGTGCAAAAATCTTGTGCGGTAGATTATCTGGTAGGAAGACATGCGCATAAACCTTGATATGCAACAAAATCTCATGTGGCTTTGCCTCAACAGAGGATGTGATCGATAACTGGACTCATGGAATCATTGGAATCATCATAAGGGTTGGTTGTAACTTTTTTAATAAACTGTTACAACTATCCCCAAACCAAACAGCCATAACATAGCAAACTGTCTCAGCATGTGGGGTTGAAGTTAGCATAAATATAAAGCATCAAATTAAACTAGAGAAACAGCTAGGTCATGGAAGTTAAATAAATGTATCCACAACACAATGATTGCTATACAAAAATAATCTTGTTTAAAAATGTGATTTTGTTAGCTGAAAATCAGTTTTTTGGTCATAAAATCAACACATTTTCTCACAGGCACATGCACTTTCTCCTGTGAGCTCAAAAAGAAGATGGGAGTGTATGATATTGATGACGTTACCACAGCTCTTTTCTGATCTGTGAAACTTGCAGTGTCACATCTAACCCAGTGTTACAACACTCCCCGGTCTCCCCTACTGTGATGCT